AGAGTGTCCCAGGCAGAGAAATGAACCAGGACAGCATGTTCTTAGTGTGTTCCAAGTAAGGAGGCCATGGTGGCCAGACTGGAAGGGGAAGAAGGAAGAAGGGGAGAGTGGCTGGAGGTGAGATCAGAGATATGGAAGGACAGCCAGATTATGTAGGGTCTTGGGTTTTACACTGGGTAGGATGGGAAATCATTGAACGATTTTCATCAGAGGAGATCCATGACTATATGTTTTTAAAATATCACTCTGGCTAGCATGTGGAGAAGAGGCTGGGGGAGCAAGAGAAGAACCAAGTTGGAAACGATTGCACAAATAGAAGAAACACAGGCAGTTTGGATGAGGATAATGGGCATGAGGCAAAGAGTGGTCAGATTCTGAACATATCGTGAAGGAATCGCTGACAGTTGAGGATGGATTAGATTTGAGCTGTGAGAGGAAGACAGGAATAACAGATGAGGCCTAGGTTTTTGACCTAAGAAACTGAGAGATTAAAGTGGACATTTGCCAAGAGAGGAGAATGAGGGAAGAGCAGGTTTGGAGAGGAAAGTCAAGAGTCTGGTTGTTTTGCCAGGTTAGATCTGCCTTTTACAAGTCTAAGTGGCATGTCCAGCAGACAACTGTGCACAGAATGTAGAGTTCAGTAGAGAAGCTGGGGTTGTCTGCCCAGACGTGGTATTTTAAGTCATAAGACAAGATATGAGAGCAGACAGAGAAGAGGGCCCAGGACCAAGCTCAAGTTCAAAAACTGTGTTGCCCTTCCCGTACATCACATTTGCACTTTAACTTAGACTTTCTGCAGATAGTGCCTCTGATTCTCCTTCAACATCAGCTGAAGGACGATTTACTGCTTGAATGTCAATGAGCCTCACCTTCCTATCCAGGGACGCAGCACTTCCCTTTCCAGCTGTTCGCCCTTAGCAAGCAGCCAGAGGCCTTTCACAGAAGTGACACCAGCAGAAAGAGTTGTGAAGGGGCGAAATATGGGGGTGCTGGGAACGCAGGGAGAGAGAACAGGAGTACTGCCACTGTCAGAAGGTACATAAAAGAGAGAAAGATGCCACCTCATGGGCCCCTTCCAGACATCACTCCTGAAGCCATCCCAAAACAGAATGGGCAAGGAGAGAAACAGGCAAACCAAGTGGACAGTGGAGCAAGCTTTTGATGAATGGCACATCCGGATGAGGGTGGGACTCTGACCACAGCCCTGAGTTGCAGTGATTACGTCCTTCAGGATATAGGGAACGATGACTGGCTATGAGTAGAATCCAGGCTAGGAGTCACAGATATTGTGGAGTTGGATCATTTTTGTGGCCAAGGACAGAGTGTTGACAGCAGGTCTTAGCATTCAGCTGAGGCAGGAGCTTGGCACTGGGAAATCTCTTACAGATGATGTGACTTCTCTGAGATTCAGTTTTCTCTCCACCATGAATTGGGACTCGTAACTAGACCACCTTTACTGGGAAAGTTTTTCAGAAATAACTTATGGAGAATTATTTTCCAAGTAAAAATAACAAGCACCACTACATTAAGTTTTAGACAGTTAAAATAGGTAAACTCCTATTGTGTTGAACTCCAGGAACTTGCCAATTATTTTAATGAAGTAAAATAGTTCTAAAATTAACACATTGTTAGCAACCAGGTTCTAAGATGAGGAATCTGGAAAAGAAAGAATGCCAGCGTCCAACTTCTGCTTAATAAATCCATGAGCTAAAGGAACTCAGCCCAGCAGGAGGAAAGAAAGGTCACGGATACATAAGCACCTATATTCCCCCTTACCCTCCTTAGGTGTGAGATTTTTATGATATGTGGATTTTTTATATCAATTATTTGGAACATGAGGTAGCACCAAATTAGATGGCTAGCTCTTCCAGGTGAAAAATAACAGTTACTGAAAGAGATCTCTTTTTTTTTTTTTTTTTTGAGACAGAATCTTGCTCTATCGCCCAAGCTGGAGTGCAGTGGCACAATCTCAGCTCACTGCAACCTCTGCCTTCCATGTTTAACCAATTTTCCTGCCTCAGCCTCCCAAGTAGCTGGGATGACTGGCACGTGCCACCATGCCCAGCTAACTTGAAAAATCACTTCTACTGGAAAAACTAACTTCCTAGGAAGAGCTCAGTATCTTCTCTAACCCACAATGCAGGAAACATACAGTCATTTCTCTTACTATTGGAATGCCTATAATATAGACAGGCATTCCATCAGGTTGTTATTGCCCCTAATTGACTGAAGCCAGGCCAACAAAGCTTTGTTTGCAGAGTATAACACAATGACCATGAGCAATAATTTCAGAATCAGAGATGTAGGCCCATATCCCAGCTCCATAAATCTCCAGCTCAGTGACCTTGGGCAAGTTACTTTGTCTCTCCCATGTCTTGGTTTTCTGTTCTGTAAAAATGGAAATTAACCACCGGCTATAAGGGCTGAATAAGTGTACATCACTTAGCACATACCTAATGTGGCTATTAACCATTAATACTCATATAATGGATTATTTAGAGCATGAACTTGACTTTATTGTCTAGAAAGCTTTCCTATAATGGTATTTCTTGTGATGGAATTTAAATAAAAAGGACAAGCAAGAGACATCTAAAAAGCCAATGCAGCTGCCCAGGGAGTTCTCTGATAAGTTCTGTCTCTAACAGGCTTTTATAAAAGGAAAGAAGGATAGAGAAGTAGAGCAAGCTGATTTTAGTAGCATTAACCCAGTGCTTGGCAAGATAACATACAAATGAACTGAGGTTTATAAGGGAAAAGTGACAAAGACAACAGAAAAATAATGTTAAAAATTCCCTTTGAGAGAAAGAAGTACATGAGATTGAGGAAGTACTCTACAACACTATTAATGTTCCAATTAAAGCTTACAACTTGAAATTTCAAAGATAGAATGATATAAAAGTAAAAACAACAAGAATTGGAAAAACTGGTTCCGTGGCAGAAGTCGAACACATTTGTCCTCAATATCCTGGAGAGCAGTAAGTCTCTTCCAGCATAAAAAGGCCTGACAGTGCCTGTTTCTTATCACATTCCAGCAAAGAAGGTCTGCTGGCTGCTGGGGAGAGGCTTGCATGGCAGACAAAAGGATCAGTGCACTATGATTCATGGAGCTAAGATATGAGGATTTTCCAAAATCATTGTAATGGAGAATCCATTCACTATTTTGTTATGAATTATGTGTTGATTAGGGTTGCCAGATTTAGCAAATAAAAATATAGGACAACCAGCTAAATTTGAATTCCAGATAAGCAAGCAAATAGTTTTTAGTTTAAGTATGTCCCATACAATATTTGGCAATTCTACTTTTGGGCTATCAGTGATTTGTCACTTCAGCAAGGCCTGAATTTAGGAAGGAAGGGACTCTATTCAACTTTGGCAAAGAGCACAGGTTCTATTTGACAGTTTTTCCCCTTGCTTCTGAGAAAGGCATTTATCACTGATAATTTTTATTAATCTAATCCAGTGGTTTTCAAACATACGCACACTTCTTCAGAAAACAAATTCTCAAGTGGAATCCTAATACAGTTGACCCTTGAATAACATGGGTTTAAACTTCTTGGGTCCACTTATAGGAGAATTTTTTTCAATAAACATATTGGAAAATTTTTTGGAGATTTGTGACAATTTGGAAGAACTCACACATGAACCACATAGCCTGGAAATATTTTAAAAATTAAGAAAAAGGCATGTCATGAATACATAAAATCTATACAGATACTGGCCTGTTTTATCATTTACTACCATAAAACATACACAAATCTACTATAAAAAGCTAAAATTATCAAAATTTATACATAAAAATACCATACATAATGCCACTAGCAGTCAAAAGAAAGGTAAACAAATGTAAAAATGAAGAATCATAACTGCATAAAATTAACTATAACACATACTATACTACTGTAATAATTTCATAACCACCTTCATTGCTATTGCAGTGAGCTCAAGTGTGGCAAATGTCTGCTTAAAATGCTGTGTGATGCTAATCACCTCCACATGAGCAGCTCTTCTCTCTAGTAAACTGCGTATCACAGTATAAATGGATATCTTGCAGTTCTCACACATTTTTTATCATGTTTGGTGCACTACCGTAAACCTTGAATAATACCACGGGACCTATTTGAAGTGCTGCTAGGGATGCTGGAAGTGCTCCCAGGAAGCAGAGAAAAGTTATGACATTACAACAAAAAGTAAAATTGCTTGATATTTTCCATAGATTGAGGTCTGCAGCTGTGGTTGCCCACCATTTCAAGATAAATGAATCCAGCAAAAGGACCACTGTTAAAATAAAATAAAATAAAATAAAATAAAATAAAAAGAAGGATATTCATGAAGCTGTCACTGCAGCTACACCATCAGGCACAAAATCCTTACACTTTTTGTGAAACATCTTTTTATCTCATATTGACAATGTGGGTATAAGATTACTATATGAAAGGCATGCCTATGGACTCTAATACAATTAAAGAAAAAGAAACGTCATTATGTGACAACTTAAAGCAAAAGGGAGGTAAAGGATCTAAAGTTGGAGAATTTAATGCCAGCAAAGGATGGTTTGATAATTTTAGAAAGTGGTTTGGCTTTTAAATTGTCAGGATAACAGGAAAAGCAGCTTCTGCTGACCAAGTGGCAGTAGACGAGTTCCCAGACGCCATTAAGAAAATAATTGAGGAGAAAGGGTATCTGGCTGAACAAATCTTTAATGCAGATAAAAGAGCCCTATTCTGGAAGGAAAAATGCCACAAAGGACATTTATTAGTAAGGAATCACCAGGATTAAGGCAGAAAGGGATAGGTTAACTCTGATTTTATGTAAATGCAATTGGGTCTATGATTAGGACTGACATTATCTATAAAGCCACTAATCCCTGAGCCTTGAAAGGAAAAGGTAAACACCAGCTGCGAGTCTTTTGTTGTACAAGAAGGTCTGGACAATGAAAACTCTTTTTCTCAATTGGTTCCATTGATGGCTTTGTCTCTGAAGTCCAGAAATACCTTGCCAATAAGGGATTGCCTTTTAGTGTTCTTTTGATGTTGGCTAATGCCCCTGGCCACTCAGAACCCAAAGAGTTCAACTCCAAAGACCCAAAGTGCCCTACATTCCTCCAAACAGAAGTCCTGTAATTCAACCTTTATATCAGGAGGTTAAGGAGCTTTAAAGCTCATGACACACAGCATTCTGTGGAAAAGACTGTCAACACCATGGAAGAGAATCCCAATAGAGAGACATCATGAAAGTCTGGAAGGATTACACCATTGAAGATGCCATCATTGTTACAGAAAAAGCCATGAAAACCATCCAACCCAAAACAACAAATTCCTGCTGAAGAAACTGTGACCGGATGTTGTGCATGACTTCTCGAGATTTATGACAGAGCCAATCAAGGAAATCATGAAGAGATTGTGGATATGGCAAAAATAGGTAGGGGTGAAGTGTTTCAAGAAAAGGATCTTGGAGAAATTCAAGGCTAAAGACACCACATCAGAGGAATTAACAGAAGGCAACTTGATGGAGACTTTCCAAACCAGTGCCAGGGAATGAGAAAGTTGTAGAAGAGGCAGTGCCAGGAAACAAATTCAACATTAGACAATCAGGCGTAAGGGCTCCAATTATTCAAGACTGCTTTTGATTTAATTTATAACACGGAACTTTCTATTATATGAGCACTGAAACTAAAGCAAAAGGTGAATGAAAGATTAGTATCATATAGAAACATTTTTAGAGAAATGAAAAAGCAAGAAAGTCAGACAGAAATTATAATGATTTCCATAAAGTTATACCAACTGTGCCTGCCTCCACCTCTTCCACATCCTCTACCTCTGCCATTCCTAAGACAGCAAAACCACTCCTCCCTCCTCTTCCTCTTCCTCAGCCTACACAAGGTGAAGACAATAATAAAGACCTTTATAATGATCCACTTACACTTAATGAATAATAAATTATAAGCAAGAGAGAATGTATTTAATTTTTTATCTATCTTACTTTACTGTAAGAATACAATATATAATAAATATGACATACAAAATTATGTGTTAATCAACTGTTCATGTTATCAGTAAGGTTTCCATCAACAGAAGGCTACTAGTAGTTAAGTTTTGGAGGAGTCACAAGTTATACATGGATTTATGATGGTGTTGAGGGTTGGTACTCTTAATCTCCATATTGTTCAAGGGTCAGCTGTATATAATAGAATTGTATTGCAGTTCATAGGTATTCTGGCTCAGTTTTAGGCCACCATAGTAAAGTAAATATTGCAATAAAGCTAGTCACACTAATTTTTTTGTTTTCCCAGTGAAAATATAAGCTTTGCTTATACTGTGCTATAGCCTATTAAGTGTGCAGTAGCATTATGTCTAAAAAATGCACATATCTTAATTTAAAATTTTTTTATCACCAAAAAATGCTAACAATCATCTGAAGCTTTAGTGAGTTATAATCTTTTTGCTCATGGAGGGTCTAACCTCTATGTTGAAGGCTGCTGACTCATCAAGGTAGTGGTTGCTGAAGGTTGATGTGACTATGGCCATGTTTCTAAACTTTTATTTTAGGTTCAGAGGTACATGTGTAGATTTGTTATATGGGTAAACGCATGTCACAGAGGATTGTTGTACAGATTATTTCATCACTCAGGTACTAAGCCTAGTACCCATTAGTTATTTTTCCTGATCTTCTCCCTCCTTCCACCCTCACCTCTACAGTAGGCCCGTGTCTGTTGTTCCCCTCTTTGTATCCATGTGTTCTCATTATTTAGCTCCCACTTATAAGAAAGAACATGTGGCATTTGGTTTTCTGTTCCTGCATTAGTTTGCTAAATATAATAGACCCCTGTTATATCCATGTTCCCACAAAGGACATGATCTCATTCTTTTTTATGGCTGCACAATATTCCATGGTGTATATGTATCACATTTTATTTATCCAGTCTGCCATTGATGGACATTTAGGTTGATTCCATGTCTTTGTGATTGTGAATAGTGCTGCACTAAACATATGCATGCATGTGTCTTTATAACTGAACAATTTATATTCCTTTGGGTATATACCCAATAATGGGATTGCTAGGTCAAATGGTAATTCTGCTTTTAGCTCTTGAGGAATCCCACACTGCTTCCCACAATGGTTGAACTAATTAACACTCTCACCAACAATGTATAAGCATTTTCTTTTCTCTGCAACCTTACCAGTATCTGTTATTTTCTGTCTTTTTAATAAAAGCTATCCTGACTGGTATGAGATGGTATCTCATTGTGGTTTTGATTTGCATTTCTCTAATGATCAGTTATATTGAGCTATTTTTCATGTGATCGTTGGTCACGTGTATGTCTTCTTTTGAAAAGTGTCTGTTCATGTCCTTTGCCCACTTTTTAATGGGTTGTTTTTTCTTGTAAATTTGTACAATTTTCTTACAGATGCTGGATATTGGACCTTTGTTCAGATGCATATTTTGCAAATATTGTCTCCCATTCTGTAAGTTGTCTGTTTATTGATAGTTTATTTTGCTGTGCAGAACTTCTTAAGTCTAATTAGATGCCATTTGTCAATTTTTGCTTTTGTTGCAATTGCTTTTGGTGTCATCATGAAATCTTTGCCAGTTTCTACTTCCAGAATGGTATTGCTGAGGTTGTCCTCCAGGGTTTTTATACTTTTCCCTGTTGCTTGTTTTTGTCATCTTTGTTGAAGATCAGATGGTCCTGGGGTGCAGCCTTACTTCTGAGTTCTCTGTTCTGTTCCATTGGTCTGTGTGTCTGTTTTTGTGCCAGTACCATGTTGTTTTCATCACTGTAGCCCTATAGTGTAGTTTGAAGTCAGGTAGTATGATGCCTCCAACTCTGTCCTTTTTGCTGAGGATTCCCTTGGCTGTTCGGGCTCTTTTTTAGTTTCATGTAAATTTTTAAATATTTTTCTCTAGTTATGTAAAGAATGTCATTGGTAGTTTGACAGGAATATCATTGAATCTGTAAATTGTTTTGTATGGCCATATTAACAATATTGATTCTTCCTATCCATGAATGTGAAATGTTTTTCCATTTGTTTGTGCCATCTCTGATTTCTTTGAGCACTGTTTTGCAGTTCTCCTTGTAGAGATCTTTCACCTCCCTGGTTATCTGTATTCCTAGGTATTTTATCCTTTTTGTGGCATTTGTGAATGGGATTGTCTTCCTGATTTGGCTCTCGGCTTGGCTATTGTTTGTGTATAGGAATGCCAGTGATTTTTGTACATTGATTTTGTATCCCGAAACTTTGCTGAACTTGTTTACCAGTTGAAGGAGCTATAGGCCAAGACTATAAGATTTTCTACATATGGAATCATGTAATCTGCAAACAGGGACAGTTTGACTTCCTCTCTTCCTATTTTGATGCCCTTTATTTCTTTCTCTTGCCTGATTGCTCTGGCCAGGACTCCAGATACTATGCTGAATCAAAGTGGTAAGAGAGGGCATCCTTATCTTATGCTGGTTTTCAAGGGGAGTTTTTCCAGCTTTTGACCATTCAGTATGACATTGGCTGTGGATTTGTCATGGATGGCTCTTATTATTTTGAGATATGTTGTTTCAATATCTAGTGAACTGAGAGTTTTTAACATAAAGGACATTGAATTTTACCAAAAGCCTTTTCTGCATCTTTTCAGATAATCATGTGGTTTCTGGCTTAGTTATGTTTAAGTGATTAATTACATTTATTGATTTGCATATTGTTGAACCAACCTCGCATCCCAGAGATAAAGCCTACTTCATCATTCTGGATTAGCTTTTTGATGTGCTGCTGGGTTCAGTTTGCAAGTGTTTCATTGAGGATTTTTGCATAAACGTTCATTGAGGATACTGGCCTGAAGTTTTCTTTTTTTGTTATGCCTCTGACTGTGGCAATTTTAAAAAATAAGACAGCAATAAAGTTTGCAGTATCAATTGGCTCTTCCAATACAAAAATTTTCTCCGTATTATGCAATGTTATTTGATAGCATTGTACCCACGGTAGAACTTCTTTCAAAATTTAAGCCAATACCCTCAAACCCTGCTGCTGCTTTATCAACAAGTTTTATGTCATATTCTAAATCCTTTCTTGTCATTTCAACAATGTTCACAGCATCTTCACTGGAAGTAGATTCCACCTTAAGAAGCCACTTTCTTTGCTCATTCATAAAAAACAAACTCTCATTCATTCAAGTCAGATCATGAGATTGCAGGAATTCAGTCACATCTTCAGGCTTCATTTCTAATTCTGGTTCTCTTGCTATTTCCACCACATCTGTGTTACCTCCTCCACTGAAGCCTTGAATCCCTCCAAGTCATCCATGAGGGTGGGAATCAACTTCTTCCAACCTCCTGTTAATGTTGGTATTCTGACCTCCCATGAATCACAAATGTTCTTAATGGTATTTATAATGCTGAATCCTTTCCAGAAGGTTTTTCAATTTACTTTGCCAAAATCCATCAGAGAAATCGCTTTCTATGGCAGCTATAGCCTTACAAAAATGTATTTCCCAAATAATAAGACTTGAAAGTTGAAATTACTCCATGATCCATGGGCTACGGAATGGAGATTGTGTTAGCAGGCATGAAAACAATATTGACCTCCTTGTACATTTCCATCAGAATTCTTGGATGACATTGTCAATGATTGGTCATATTTTGAAAGGGATCTTTTTCTCTGAGCAATAGGCCTCAACAATAGGCTTAAAATAGTCAGCAAACCATGCTGTAAACAGATTTCCTGTCGTCCAGTCTTTGTTATTTCATGTACAGAGCACAGGCAGCATGAATTTAGCGTAATGTTTAAGGGCCCTAAGATTTTCAGAATGGTAGATGAGCTTCAACTTAAAGCTACCAGCTACATTAGCCCCTAACAAGAGTGTCAGCCTAGCCTTTTAGTTTTGAAACAAGACTTCTCTCTGGCTGTAAAAGTCCCAGATATCCTCTTATTCCAATATAAATCTATTTCATGATCCTAACTAGATTTTCTAGATAACTTGCTGCAGTTTCTCCATCAGCACTTGCTGCTTCCCCTTGCATTTTTATGTTGTGGAGACAGCTTCTTTCCTTAAACCTCATGAACCAAGTTCTGCTAGATTCCAACTTTTCTTCAGCTTATCTCTCTCAGCCTTTGTAGAATTGAAGAGAGTTAAGGCTTTCTTCTAGATTAGGCTTTGATTCAAGAGAATGTTATAGCTGGTTTGATCTTCTATCTAAACCACTAAAAGTTTCTCTGTATAAGCAATAAGGCTCTTTTGCTTTCTTATCATTCATGTGTTCACAGGAGATGCTCTTTTAATTTTCCTCAACAGTTTTTCCTTTGCATTCAGGATTTGGCTATTTGGCACAAGTGTTCTAGCTTTCAGCTTCTCTCAGCCGTTGACATGCCTTCTTCACTAAGCTTAATCATTTCTTGTTTTTTAATTAAAATGAGATGTGAGAGTTTTTCTTTGACTTTTACATATAGAGGTCATTGTAGGGTTATTAACTGTCCTAATTCTAATATTGGTGTATCTCAGGGAATAGAGAGGCTTGAGGAGAGGGAATGAGATTGAGGAATAGCCAGTTGGTAGAGCAGTCAGAACATTCACACCAGTTATAGACTAAGTTTCCTCTCTTACATAGACATAGTTCATAGTGCCCAAAACAATCACAATACTAACACCAAAGATCACTAATTACAGATCACCATACAGATATAATAATAATGAAAAGTTTGAAATATTGCAAGAAATACCAAAATGTGACACAGACACAAAGTGAGCACATGCTTTTGGAAAAAAATGGCCCTAATGGACTTGTTCAATGCAGTGTTTCCACAAATCTTCAATTTGGAAAAACCACAATATCTATAAGATGCAATAAAGTGGAATGCAATAAAATGAGATTTGTTTTGTTTTAGATTTTTTCTCAAAGGAGAGAAAGGCTCTCTGGTTGAATGGAGAAGTTAGGGTAAGATGGAGGAAGATGGAGAATCTAGACCTCTGCCCTCTTGGCTTATCCATCTTCTTTGCCCTCGATAGTACCTGCAAAGGATCTTCTTGGAACAAAGGCACTCTAGAGAGCAGACATGACACATCAATCATTTGATCAGTCTCTCTGCCCATGCCAGGCTTTTTGTCACAGCAGACAGTATCATCCAATTCCCATTAAAGAAAAAATGGAGTTCTAATTGACTCATTTCAATCCTTCTTTTACCATAATCAATCTGTTACTGCAGCATGCTGTTTTTTATTTTATAACTGTGCTTCTGTGATATAAAATAAGCAGCAAAAAATGGACAAAGTCACCCAAACAATTCATCTATATAAGAACAATAATCCAAGAATTGAAGTAAATTTCTAGATGCTTTGACTAATTTTCCAGTTATCCTCTAGATATCACTATCATACAGATAGAAGCAACTCTTTTCCATGTCAGCCCTCCCTCTCTGGGCTGGTTCAGAAAAATGTTCTCCCCACCAGGAAGAACCACTGCTGTGACTCATAAGCCTTGTCCCTGCCCCATTACTATGACTATCTATAAGCATGCACAGTACCTCCTGTAGCGATACCTCCATTTCGTATGTGAGGAGTGCCCTTGGATAGACTTTTCATATTAATTTAAATTCTCATAAATCTTGCCCACCAGTGGATATCTTTTACATACTCCCTGGCTTTTACCTGGGAGTATTGACATATTTTGATTTTTCCCCCAACCAGTCTCCATGAAAGACCCTTTATTTTTGGAAGAATCACCACAGAGCCATTCCCAGAGCACATAGAGGACATCCTTGATGATGAGGAGAAAAAAAAAAAAAAAAAATTTTAGGGGCTAGGCGCGATGGCTCACACCTGTAATCCCAGCACTTTGGGAGGCCGAGGCGGGTGGATCACGAGGCCAAGAGATTGAGACCATCCTGGCCAACATGGTGAAACCCCGTCTCTACTAAAAAAATACAAAAAATTAGCTGGGCATGGTAGCGCATGCCTGTAGTCCCAGCTACTCAGGAGGCTGAGGCAGGAGAATTGCCTGAACCCAGGAGGCGGAGGTTGCGGTGAGCCGAGATCGCGCCATTGCACTCCAGCCTGGGTAACAAGAGCGAAACTCCGTCTCTAAAAAAAAAAAAAAAAAAAAAAATATTTAGACCAATGCTGACAAAAGCTATTTTTCATCCACAAAGATAATCCTGACAAGTCTTCTTATCAAAAGGTATTCACCTATAAAAATGCTCCAAAAACTAATAAGTGAGTTTAGCAAGGCAATAGGATTCAAGATCAACGTACAAAAATCAACTATATTTCTATATGCTGGCAAAAAAAAAAAATCATAAACTGAAAAAAAAAGTATCATTTGCAAACCATCCAAACAAATGAAATATTCTGACAAAAGGTTGTGCATGGCCTGTACTGAAAATGATAAAACATTGCCCGACTAAGTGTAAAAGATTAAATAAAAACAATATCCATGACTTGGAAGACTCAATAATGTTAGGGTCCAAATGATCTAGAATCAATGCAATTCCCATCAAAACCCCAGAAATTAGCAAACTAAAATTCATATAACAGTGCAAGGAACAGAATAGCCAAAACAATCTGACAAAAAAAGAACGAAGTTGGAGGACTAGCAGCACCTATTTTCAAGGCTTACCCTAAGCTAGTAATCAAAACACTCTGCTACTGGTGTAAAGATAGACAAATAGATGAATGGAACAGGATAAAGAATCCAGAAGTTGACCCACAAATATATGGATTTTTTTAATGGGCAAAGGCAATTTGTAGAGAATGTATAGTCTTTTCAACAAAAGGCACTGAAATTATTGAATTACTATATGCAAGAGGAAGAGGAGGAGAAAGAGAAAGAACTTTAGTCCAGACTTCACACTGTATACAATAATGGTTCATAGACCTAAAACTATATGAAAATAAACCTACTACTATAAAAATTCTGGAAGAAACCATATCATAAAATTTTTGTTATCTTGAGTTAGACAAAGATTAAATATGACACCAAAAGCACAATTCATGAAAGGAAAAAAAAAACAATAAATTAGACTTCATCAAAACTAAAAACATCTGCTCTTTAAAGGACGCTGTTACCTGGGTGACAATATGTACAAACCCCCATGGCACGTGTTTACCTATGTAGCAAATCTTCAGCTGTACCCCCAAACCTAAAATAAAAGTTAAATAAATAAAAGACACTATTAGATAATTAAAAAGCAAATCACAGACTGAAAGAAAATATTTACAGTCTGTTAAAGGACTTTTAACCAAAATATGTAAAGAACTCTTAAAATCAATAAGAATACAAGCAACTCAATAAAATGGGGCAAAAGATTTGAACAAAGAAGATAAATAGGTGGCAAATAAGCACATATTCAACATTGTTAATCACTAAGGACATAGTCATTAAACTCACATTGATGTGCCACTACATACCTATTTGAATGGCTAAAATTAGAAAGACTGAAAATACCAACTGTTAGTGAGGATGTGCAGCAAATGGAACATTTACACACTTTAAATGGGGGTGTAAGACAGTACAATCACTTTGAAAAACAATTTGGCAGCTTCATAAATAAACATATACCTACAATATCATCCAGCCATTATGTTCCTATTTACCCAAAAGCATATATCCATAAAAAGACATGAGCATGAATGTTCCTAGCAGCTTCATTTAAATAGTCAAAAACTGGAAACAGCTCAAATATCCACCAACAGATAAACACTCTATGATCTATCCATACAATGGACTACTACTCAGCAGTAAAAAGGGATAAACTATTAATATATGAAAAAACCATGAATTTCAAAATAATCATTCTGAGTAAAAGGAGCCCAGCCCTTAGCCCTCAAAAGAGAGTATATACTGAATAATTCCACTCACATAAAATTCTAGAAAATGCTAACTAATCCATAATTACAGAAATCAGATCAACAGTTGCCTGGGGACAATGGAACAAGGTTGGGGATATACAAGATTCAAGAAAACTTCTGAAAGTGCTGTATCTGCTCATCATCTTGTGATAATGTCTCACAGGTCCATAAGTGTCAAAATGCACCCAGGTGTGTACTTTAAATATGTGTAGTTTATCTGCTGGTGCTACTGTGTCAATTATACTTTGATAAAGCTGTGTAAATAAAACTGAAAAAGTTCAAAAGGAAGTATTTAGGAAGGATAATTAATTTTATTTGCTCTAGTCTCTGCAGTGTCATATGTAAACAGTTGTTTGACAGCCAAGAATTAAATGACAACAGTCTTCATCTTTAGTGAGGCTGTTGAAAAACATCAGATGGAACCCAGTTCATAACCTGTAGCAAAACACCTTCAATTCACCATCTCCTTATCCTATTTATCTTTCGTAGACGCCCAGGACTGCCCCTAAAAGGCTCTCTTTCCTTCTCTCTCTAAACACCCTGAATCCTCTCTTTCTCAGCCTTGCCCTGTGGTCATTTTCCCCATCTTTCCCCTACCTTCCTAGAGGTATTCTCCAGTCGCCCTGTCGCTGCCTCCTCCAGCACCTTTATTCTTCTCGACTCTGATCTACTACTCCTTCTAGATCAGCATTTTTCTATCCATTATCCTAAGCAGCATAACTGAAACCCCAGAGGCCAAAAAGTAAAATAATCTTCTTTGGAAGCAGAATGAGTAGAGGTAGAAAGGAATGCTCATACATTAATAATTTTTTAAACTCTAACAGCTGGGTGGTGGAGGAGACTCTCTTATTTTAAAAAGAAAAGATTGGTCCCAGGGTCCCAGTCCCCTCTCTGCTCAGAGATGCTCTCTCTGCTCTCGTCCTTCTTCATTCATTCTCACAGGCAAAGGGACTCGGTTTGGCTCCATTCAGTCTTCCATTCTGACTGTAGATTACATCCCTATGCCTGAAACACATTGCCCCTTCCCAGCACACCGTGGCCATTCTCTATCTACTGCTATTTTAGGTTGTTGTTGTTGCTGTTGTTTTTGTTTGCCTCTTCTCAATCCCTCCCAAGCCACTAGAAGAGAAATGACCCATTTCATCCTTTTAAGTAGCTCTCTCTTCACATGTATCTTTGGACTTGTAGATGACGCAAATTCTTTATGAATTTAAATTTTAAGAGCTCTGTTTGTTAAATGTTTGTCCATTTGTCTGCATATAGTTAATATAATTAACCTGTCTGTCTGCAGCACTGCTCTCTGCAGAAGACTGTAAAGTCTGTTCCGTCACTTCTTCCAGGCTTCTTATCATGGTGGCCGCAATGTTTGCCCACACTGAACCATCTGCCACCACTTCACCCACTCCTCCCACTTGCCCCACTCCCCTCCTCCTGCTTCATGTTCCAACATTATCAAACCACCTAAAGTCCCCAACTTTACATATCTGGAACACCATCACCTGGGAATTACCCTCTGCCTAAAGCAGAGGTCAGCAAACTTTTTCTGTAAAGGACCATATACAAATATCTCAGGCTTTGCAGGCCCTGGGGTCTACTCAGTTCTGCCATCCATCATCACACAAATGCAGCCACAGGCCATACATAAATGAATAAGTGTGGCTGAGTTACAATAAATCCTTATTTCCAAAAACAGCCAACAGATTTGGCCTGTGGCTTTAGTTTGCCAAACCCTGGTCTAAAACATCCTCCCTTCCCAATCTCCACCTGGCTGCCTCCTAGTTCTCCTACAGGACTAAGCACCTTACCTCTGGAGTGTGCTTTCTCCTATGACTGGTCAGGTTCATCCTTCATACTCTCATAGGAATATATGTGGAATACATTTTGTAGGGGGAGGAAAAGTTTCTTCCCAAAGACTCATGGTTTCTTCCATGAGGAGGGAGCTGTGCTATTATAACACCACTGGCCTCTCTCTACTCCTGCTCACTCCTCCCCGTGGGAGACAGAGCAACTTGGAGGAGTCTAGCTCCTCCTCTCACTCGTGGGAGCAAACTGGCCACAGAGAACATGTATTTCTGCTGCTTTTCTATGCCACAGAGGGTACTCTCTGCCACTCTTGGGAAAGGCCTGCCTGCCAGTGCTACTGTGCCCAGGCACATAAGTCTGTCTCATTCCAGAGTTCTCTGTTATTAGTCTAACCAGTAACAACAGTAACATTTTTATCGCCATCAATCTTACTTCCTGATTATCTCTTAATTGGTTCAGAACTCTAGAGGGAAACAGAAATGCTATTTATAAGGCTCCACTGAACTCCAACGTGCACCAATAGCCGCAGCATTCAGCATGTTGCTTGGAAATTTTCTTTGTGTATCTTCTATCACCTCAGTTCACTGATTCCCTCAGTGGACTGCAGTCAACTAGAAAGTCCTTCCAATTGTCACAAACAAATCCAGAAATGCAAATCTTCCTTTTATGTTGATAGCAAATGACGCCATTCTGTTAGCTTTTATCTTTACCTACAATTGAATATTGCTTACTAATAACCTGTTGAGTGCTATAGTTTGGATATATTGTTCCCCAAACCTCATGTGGAAATTTGACCCCTAATGTTGGAGGTGGAGCTTAACGGGAAGTGTTTGGGTTATGGGGGTAGAGCCCTCATGAACGGCTTGGTTCATCCTCAAGGTAACAAGTCGCTTCTCACTCTCATTCCTGCTGGAATTGGTGTTAAAAAGAGCCAGCATGTGATCTCTGCACATACCAGCTACCCTTTTTCTTCTGCCATGTGTGGAAGCTGTCTGAGTCCCTCACCAGAAAAAGATGATGGCTGTGTACTTCTTGTACAACCTGCAGAGCCCTGAGCTAAATAAACCTCTTTTCTTTATAAATTACCCAGCCTCAAGTATTCGTCTATGGCAACACAAATGGACTAAGACAGTAAATTAACAATAGTTTCCAAGTTGAAAGTACTAAAAGAGTTTACTAAATATTTAATTACATATTCAATTAAGAAATATGGCAGCTGCACTTTTGGAAATCCTGCAAAAAAAATTTTTTTTTTCTTTTTGAGACGGAGTTTCACTCTTGTTACCCAGGCTGGAGTGCAATGGCGCGATCTCGGCTCACCGCAACCTCCGCCTCCTGGGTTCAAGCAATTCTCCTGCCTCAGCCTCCAGAGTAGCTGGGACTACAGGCGCATTCCACCATGCCCAACTAATTTTTGTATTTTTAGTAGAGACAGGGTTTCCCTTTGTTGACCAGGATGGTCTCAATCTCTTGACCTCGTGATCCACCCGCCTCGGCCTCCCAAAGTGCTGGGATTATAGGCGTGAGCCACCGTGCCAGGCCACAAA